AGCCACATAAATTCAGGAAAGGGCACCAATCAAGGCATAGAGCTTGATGAATGTTTAAAAGGTCACACCCATCACCAGTCCCCAGACGGAGAAACAGACATGAGGTGTGCTCTGGGACCCCCTGGAGCCTGCTTGAGCCCCTCCTTGGCCTCTAATACTACAGTTCAGCTTGTGCCTGAGCTTCCCGTGGCCGTGGTAATGGACGAGCACCCGTAGTGACTTCTGTTAACACATGTCTGTTCTTTCACAGAGGCCCGAGGTCTGCAGGTTAGAAGTCTAAAATCAGGCATCAGGATTGGGGTCCTTCTCTAAGGGAGAGTCCATTCCTGGCCTTTGTCAGCTTCCAGAGGCATCTGCAGCCTGTGGCCGGTGGCCCCTCCTGGTATGGCTCCATCCTGGGGTGCACATCTGCTGTCACATCTTCCACAGAAACCTAAGTAGAGCCAGGCGTCATGGCGTAGGCCTGTGATCCCAGCAACTCGAGAAGCTGAGGTAGGAGGCCGGCGAGGTTGAGGCCATCTCAGAAGCTTAGTGAGGCCTTGTCTCAAATGAAAAAGATAAATAAAAAGGGCTGGGGATGGGGCTCAATGGCTACGTTCCCTGGATTCAACCCCTGGTACAAAAAAGAAAAAAGAAAAACGGAGGGAAAACAAGAAGAGGATTAGAGGCAGTGGCAGGAGATGCGACAAGGAAGGAAGGGGCCACAAGCCAAGCGCTGCACATGGACCCTACAAAGCAAATGAAGGAACACTTCCCTTGGCCTCCCAGAAGGAGCTCAACCAGCAGAGTCTTCTGAACACCCTCGGATCTCCAGGAGTACAGTAGAACACGCGTACATTGTTTTGAGCTACTAAGTTTATGGTAATTAAATAAGAATGAGTTAAATAAATAATAAGAATAAATAAATAAGAAGAATAAATGGGGCCTGGGCTGTGGCTCAGTGGTAGAGCGCTTGCCTAGCATGTGTGAGGCACTGGGTTCCATCCTCAGCACCACAAGTAAATAAATAAAGGTCCACCAACAACTAATAAAGTATTTAAAAAAAATATTGTGTCTATCTACAACTGAAAAAAAATATTTAAAAAAATGAATAAATGGGGTTGAGGGCTGGGACTGGGGCTCAGCGGTAGAGCGCTCGCCCAGCACATGCGAAGCCCTGGGTTCGACTCTCAGCACCACATTAAATAAATAAATAAAATAAAGGTATTATATCCATCTACAATTGAAAAATAAATATCAGAAAAAGAATACACTGGGGGGTGGGGCTGTGGCTCAGTGGTGGAGCACTTGCCCAGCACGTGGGTGCGATCCTCAGCACCACATATAAATAAATAAGATAAAGGTCCATTGACAACTAAAAAATATTTTGGGAGAAAGAATACATGACCAACATAACTCTACATCATATACAACCTCATTGGAACCAGTTATACTTATTCTACGTATGTCTATTATGTCAAAATACACCCTACTGTTATGTATACCTAGAAACGACGACAACAAACAATACAAAGACCCAATTGCAGTTAGCAAGCTTGACACGAAGTACAGTTGCCAGGAGGGAGGAGGGTTAGAGAGGACAGTCCATGTCGGTTCTGTTGTAGTGGTTCTGACCACCCGGCGGTCATCACAGCTGCCCTGCAGTGTGGTGGTCAAATTCATTCAGAATAGAAATCCAGAGCCTGGACAAGTGGCACACACCTGTAATCCCAGTTACTCAGGAGGCTGAGGCAGGATTGCAAGTTCAAGGCCAGCCTAGGCAATTTAGCAAGACCCGGTCTCAAAAAAACAAGACAAGACACCCAGAGAAACCCCAAAAGGTCTGGAGATGTGGCTCGGTGGTCAAGACCCCTGAGTTCCATCTCCACGACCCGCCTCCCCTGACCTCCCCCAAAATTCAGCACCTCCTCTACCTGCCACACTGCAAGTGCTCTATAGCCACACATGGCTGGTGCCAACTGCATGGGACAACACAGAGGACACTTGCATCACCTTGGGACATTCCAGTGGACAGCACCAGTGGAGAGGCTGCAGTTCAGAGGATGAGTTTTTTTTAATATATTTTTTTTAGCTTTAGGTGGACACAATATCTTTGTTTTATTTTTATGTGCTGCTGAGGATCGAACCCAGTGCCCCACACATGCCAGGCGAGCGCGATACTACTTGAGCCACATCCCCAGCCCCGAGGATGAGGTCTTTAAAATCACACGGGCAGCTGGTAAGTAGGGGAAAGTGAACAGGCAGAGACAGATTGTCTAAAAATGACAGGCTCCGAGACTACTGCAGCAACCACTAGAAGAAAATTTATAAAATGTGGAAATGATTTTGCCTCTTCAGTGGGTAACTGGAGACCCAGGGGAATGGGGCTGGGTGGGAGCTGCGGACTGAATTGTGCACCAGCCACCCCACCCTGCCTGCCTGCTCACAAGTTGAAGCCCTAACCTAATCCCCCAGGCGGTGTGTGGGTAGAGGCTGTAGGAGGTAATGTAGGGTAGACCCCGATCCATGAGGATGTCTTTATAACACACGCCAAAAAGTTATTTGGATTTTTTTTTTTGTACCAGAGATTGAATCCTGGGGTGCTTAAAACTGAGCTACACTCCCATCCCCTTTTATTTATTTATTTAAAAATTTCCTTGCTTGTAGATGGACACAATACCTTTATTTTATTTATTTATATGTGGTGCCAGGGATGGAACCCGATGCCTCACATATGCTAGGCAAGCGCTCTGCCACTGAACCACAACCCCGGTTGCCCTTTTATTTATTTTCTTACTTGCATAGGATTTATTTATTTTGGCATAAATCTTTCAAAGAGAATCCTCCCAGTCCATAGAAGAAATGGAATAAACTGGAACGTTTCCCACATTTCTCACATTCCCAGAGCTTCTCTCCTGAGTATTTTAGTATATGAGAAGGAAAATGGAACATCAAACATTCAGGGGGTTTGTTTTCCAGCATGAATGAAATGGCTTTGAAGACAACTGGGAAAATGGGATGATTTGCCATATTTTTCACATTTAAAGGGTTTTTCAGTCAGACGTCATGGTGTACACCTATAGTCCCAGAGACTTGGGAGGCTGAGGTTGGAGGCTCATAAGTTTGAGGCCACCCTCAGCACCTTAGTAAGACCCTAAGAAACTCAGTAAGTCCCTGTATCCAAATAAAAAATAAAAAGGACTGGAGATGTGGCTCAGTGGTAGAGCACCACCAGACTAAATCCCCAGGACAAAAAGAAAATTCAGCAGTGTGAGCCTTTGCTTGTCTTTGAAGTTGACAAAGAGCAGAGGACACAGGGCCTTTGCCCCCCCCCCCTTTATTTTTTGAAAGTGGAACTCAAGTTGTTGAGGGACTCGCTAAGTTGCTGAGGCTGGCTTTGAACTTGGGATCCTGTCTCAGCCTCCTGAGCTGCTGGGATTACAGGTGTGTGCTACTGTGCTGGCCAAAGAGTGATTTGTTTCTGCCTCTGTCCCCTCACTGCATGCACCTAGGGAAAGCCAGCTGAGAACACAGAAGGGGGCCATCTACAAGCTGGGTAAAGATCCACCTTCATATTGGACTTCCAGCACCTAGAACTTTGAGAGAATTAGTGTCTGTTGTTTAAGCCACTCAGGCCAAGGCAATTTGTCACTGGGCCGCAGTGGAATAGCATCCCAGGGCAGGGTTCTTGCAAAAGCCTAGCCTCTGTTTGCAGCCTCACTCCCTGATCCCCAAATCCTCCTCTGCCTCCAGGTGCTCTCAAGTGAAACTCTCAGGGTGTGTGTACCTGCTTCACGGTGTAGGCCAGGACCACGCAGGGTGGCAAGGCATCTGCAAGGACAGGCCCCTTCCATGAGCGGGCACCTGCCCCGAGTTTGCGCCTCAGCACTTCATCTCTGGCCTGGCAGTGACCGTGGACTACTCCACGAGCAAAGGAGCGCATGGGGTCTCCCACTCCGTGGTGGTTTGTGCCAGTGTGGCCACGGGAACCCAGGTGACTGGCCAAACGTGTCAGATAGTGCTGAACTTCTGGTTGTTTTGTTGTTTGGGGGCTGAGGATCAAACCCAGGGCCCAGTGCCTCTGAGGCAAGCACTTTACCACAGAACCACACTCCAAGCCTGTGGCAGCACAGATGAGGTAGTCAGCAGATTTTCTGTAAACGTCACCCTTCAGAATGTGTGAGTGAGCCTCATCCAATCAGTTGAAGGTCTTAGGAAGAATGGCCCACCCTGCCAGTCCTGCCTCACCAGCCTCCAAAGTGCAGCACAAACCTTTCCCCCTCCCTCTCTCCAGTGGAGTCACCTCCCCATAAACCTGCTGTGCATTGACATGTATTTAACACACCTCATCCACTGAACATCACCCTCCAGCCCAGCTCCTTTAAATGTGCCCAGAACACTGACATCAGCCTGCAGCTGAGCACCGTCAGCTACCTCAAAGCCTATTTAAATAACAAGATCTTGACCATCTCAAATCATCTCAGGGCTGACTAGGAGCTGCAGGTGCTGTTTCCTCACAATCCAAGAGTCATCACATCACCTGTCACTAGCCTGGGAGGAGACCAAAGATCCAGACTCAAAGTGCAGTTCTACTGAATGCATATGGGTTCTGACTATCTTAACACCAAAGAATCCTAAGTGGAACCATTGTAAGTGGGGGAGCACCCACGTGTGTGTGTGTGTGTGTGTGTGTGTAGATCCCACACATAGCGATAGAAGCACAGATGCAGATCTGCACACCTGTCTCCCTCCTCCTGGTCCTGGCTCACTGGAGACCCTCACTGATTCAGCGGTTATGTAGGAGTGCTTGCCTGGCACGCAGGAGGCCTGGGTCCCCTCTCCAGCACCCAAACAAACAAAACCAACAAAACAGGGCTAGGTGTGGCTCAGTGGCAGAGCACAGCCTGAGGTACTGGGTGAGATCCCAACATTGTAAACCAAAGGCAGGCTCCACTGCAGCCTCCACCTACCTCTTTTCATTTCCAGGACAAGGTCTGGGCAGCACAGAGACAAGACCCGCAGGCTTTTTAAAATAACTGCATCCTTTAATGGCAGTAATACAATTATTGGATTAAGAGACCACAGGAGAAAAGGCAGGTGAGGTTTCTGGAAGACAGATACGGAGTACAAAAGGGGGCAGGATAAAGTCATGCGATGATCATTGTAAAAATACAGTACATTATATACATATTTGCACCATCGACTTTCAACTCTGAAATAGTATTTACACATTTGTTACAATCCTGGTTAGAGAACAATCTTTCTTTAAAAGCTCGGCCTGTCGGCCAGTGGAAGTTCCGGGTGAATTTACAGCCCAGGAGGGTCTTAGGCTGCATATTCCAAGGAGGGTTCCAGCTTCTATTTCATCCACAGATTTCGGTTTTAAAAAGCATTTACTTTTTCTTTACAAAAGAAAATTCTCAAAGGAGAAAAAAAAAAAAAAAAAAACCCCACAAAAACCAAAAAACACTGCCACACTGTCTGCATCCTTACTTCTCCCACACACATCTGGCCACAGCCCTGTCTTCGTGGCCAACACTGGTAGCTGAAGACAAATCTCATTAATGATTGTTTTAAAAAACAAAACAGAAAGACAAAAGGATGGAACCAACTAACCTGACCACAGGGCTTGGGGCCTAGCAGGCCGCCCAGTCTCTCCCACACTGGCTAATGGCCCCAAATTAGCAATTCATTTTTCACCTTTGGGGTGGTGGTATGGGATGGGACCTGCCTGCCTCCCGCTCTAGGGCTGGGTGACTGGGCCTCATTAACAGCAGGGCAGCTGTGGTGGAGTAAAGATGAGCGGGGGCCACAGGCACCAGACCTCCTGCAGCCTCGGAGTGAGCCCGACAGGCAGGACCTGCAGGTCTGCCATTCCCTGAGCCAGCCTCCCCAGCAGTGCTCAGGGTGGGCACCCTGGGTTCTGAGGACAGGACAGGCCAGGGCAGGGCAGCTGGGGGAAGAGGCCAGTGCAGACGTCTTTGCTGTCCCGGCTCAGCCGGATGCCTTGGTCCCCCCACAGTGGGGTCCTGGTCCCTCTCATGGACAGGGCCCAGCGCACCCCTCTCCACCCCAGCTACAGCCTCCTGCCCTTCCCTCAGGCCCTCTTTGGGAAGTGCCCATAAATCCAACACTGTGTGACAGCCTCTGAATGAGCACTTCTGTCAGCTTGGGAGAGGAAAATCAAATACACCAGCACCTCATCCTACAGGTAACACAGCTTGAGGAGGAGCGAAGAGAGCAGAGACACAAACACTTGGCCAAAGAGCCACCCCAGGACTCCCTCCCTGGGAGCCTGGCAGAGTGGCCATACCACGGATCCTTGAGCTGTCTCCAAGGGGCAGGGCTGGCAGTGCAGGCACACTGAGTGCTGTGGCTTCTGAGGATCAGGGCAGACAGACCCTGGTTAGGGGGACAGGCAGGTAATACTGACAGAAAAGACACTCCAAGAGGGGCTTCCTCCTGGGGGCAGCTCTTCGGTGGGTACTGCCCCCCACCAGCCCCTGCTGCCTCCAGGTCCATCTCTTCCCCTGGAGTTTCCTGCACAGACTGGAGGGTGTAGATTTTCAGAATTCTGGACGGAGGGTGAAGAGGGGACCCCGAGTATGAATTCAGAGAGACAGGAGTGGGCCACAGCCAGGACACTCAGGGTGCCACCGAGACCCCTTCTCTCCTTGGTGCTTTTCGTCCTCTCCTGAGGCGGGCTGTCTCAGAATGTAGGCTGGAGGGACACGGCAGCTGGTGCTGGGACTTTGGAGACACCCCAACCTGTCTGCTCACAGGCCCGGTTCCACTCTTCTTGCCCAGGAGTGTGGCGTGTGTGGCTTTCAGTGCCTTCTAGACACCTCCTGTGCCCTCTGTCCTGGGAAGCATCAAGCTTTCCCCAGGAGACCCACTGGCCCCCCGCAGCAGACAGCCCCTGCCTCCAAGACCCAGCCCCGTGGGGCGCAGGCCCAGCACACTGCCAGCTGCTCCCCTTGTGAGCCAGTGTCCTTAGGGGAGCCCAGGAGCCCTGCAGCACTGACCAGAACTGAAGATGGTTATATACAATTTATGTCTCAAAGAAGGTACTACATTAGAAAAAAAAGGAAAAAGAAAAAATAAAAAACACCCAGATCCCACCCCCATCCCAACTCCGGCTGCTGCCCTTAAATATCACCCCAAGGAGGGTGGAGTGGAGGGAACACTGGCTCCGGCTTAACACTACTGGCAGAAGGGGGAGGCAGTGGGGTCGAAGCCTTTAAAAACATCTTTCAGGGACCCTGCGTCCTGCTCACCCTCACGGGCTGGGCTGTTACCAGCAAATGGGCTTCCCGAGCCTGTCTTGGGGGCTGGCTTCACAGTCCCAAAGAGGGTAGGCACGGGTAGGTTGTGCACCCCGGGCTGAGGTGGGGTGCCCTCTGGTGGCGGGGTGACCGTGGTGGTGGCGGGGGCCGAGGCGGCCTTGGGCCGGGGCCGGTTGTAGCTGTTGTACCTGTCCGTGGCTGCGGCAGCCCCATCTGCACCGGCTTTCCCCGTTTCTGGCTGCTCCAGGGCGGACTTGCGGACAAATGGGGGCTCCTTGGCCTTGGAGGTCGCACTCTTGCCGTTGCCCTCGGGGCCCTTGGGCTGGGCACCTGCGTCAGTGGCCGGCTCTGCGGCTTTGCCACCTGCGTTGGGAGTCCTCGGGTCATAGAGGCTGATGCCACTCAGCACACTGCTCTGGCCGCTGCCGCTGCCCTGGCCCAGCCCGCCAGCTGCCAGTACGCGGGGGTCATAGGGAGCTGTGGCAGGTGGGGAGGACTCCCCACTGGGACTGCCGGCCGGAGAGGGCGCTTCTGCGGGGCTGAGCTTGGCAGCACGGGAGGGGGCTGCAGAATCTGCTGTTTTCTGCAGTCGGGGGTCGCTGGGAGCCTTCCGCACCCTGGGGTCACTGGGCTTGTCACTCGGGCTGGGGGCTGTCGAAGGGCCAGTAGCATTGACAGTCTTGAGAATTCGAGAGAGGAGTTCAAAGTCGGGCAGGTTAGAGCCAGACGTGCTGGGGTCCGTGGAGGTGCCTGAGCGCTGCCGGGCATTGGGGGGCCCTGCAGGGGTAGAACGGTGCAGCCTGGGGTCCAGGGCAGGCATGGACTGCAGGGCAGCAGGCACAGGGGGCACCACGTCCTGCTTGGGGATGGGCAGAGGGATCAGGTCCTCAGGGTTCCAAAGCACAGTGCGGGCAAAGCTGGGCTTGCTCAGGGTCACGTCCTTCTTGATGTGGCTGAACTGCTGCAGCTGTGATCGTGGGTCCCGCAGTGGGTGCCCGGGGAGGGGGTCCAGGGGAATGTTCACAGCCTTCTCCCGCAGGGCTCGCTCCCCTTCCTCTTCTTCGGTAGGAGTTGGCCCGGGCCCCTTGGAGCTACTGGGGCCGGCTGGGCTGGAATGAAGGCTGCCTTCGGGCTTGGAGGTGGGCAGGGAGCGAGCCAGACGAGGATCAGAGGGCCCCGAGTCCCCTGTGCCTGACCCACCAGAAGCCTCGGCATGGCGAGAAAGTCTGGGGTCCCGGCTAAGGCGGGGGTCAGCCAACCGGCCTCCTGAGGAGTGTCCCTTCTGGAGGCGGGGGTCCCCCAGCCCACTGCTGCTCAGTTCCCCAACTGAAGCCTGGGGTCGGCTGGACGTCTGCTGCCTCAGGGTCTTGAGGATGGAGGTGACACTGCTCCCACCCTCGTCCTCATCACTCGAGTACCAGTTTCCAGTGTCACCTGAGAAAGAACAGAGGAGCAGGGAGGTGTGAGTGACCACCACATCCACCACCAGCCCTATGGACCCCGACAGCCCCCTGGGTGAATGGCGCTCTGCTCTTGGCTCTCAGGAACGCCTCAGCATCTCCCGAGACCTCGTGCGTGGCTGCCAAGGAGACCCAGGGAGCCTAGGGAGCCTGGTGCAGAGCGAGAGGCCTGCAGGTTGGTGCTCACGTCTGGGCAGCTGTCCTCCCATCCACCATGTTCTAGGTGACCTGTCTCATTTAGATGACTCACCAACCACCCAGGAGGTCGACTGACATGCCCACTGGACAGATGAGAACATGGAGGCTCGGTGCCATTTAATTGGGGTCAGGGATGGGATTGAGCTGGGACTCCTGGCCCAGGGCTCTGTTGCCTCCTCCCCATCCTCCAGGCTGGTTTGGCATCGTGGTCACCGGGCTCTGGGCACCTCTCTCTGGAGGCCCTGGCAGCAGCCATCACTGACTCTGGGCCGAGGCACTGGCACTTGCCCTCAGGCCCTTCACACCTTACCTGACCCAGGGGAGGGCGGTCTAACCAACCACTGAAACTGGCGCAAGCAAAACCTAGGCAGGGACACCTGCACCCCAGGGCAGGAGCTGCCACTCCCTTCCCCTCCTCCTGCGGTCCCTGTGGTTCCCAGGCTCCTGTCTTGGGGGCTTGTGGCCTCTGGCTTCAGGTCCCAGACACCACTTGTCCACTCACCCCGAGGTGGATGCAACCTGGCGCCCACGTGGCACGCATGACTGTAATTGTTATCGGTTTACTGCAACAACTTGCTGTCCCACAGGCTCCCTAGAAGCCTGCTCTGGGGACAGGTGAGAGCCCTCCTAAAGGCTGATCTGGATAGGCGCCCTGCCGCCACTGCCTCACCAGGGACCAGCCCACCTCCCCCCTCCTGGGGAGCAAATCTCTCAGGAACCCCAAGACACAGCGGGGCCGCCCTGACCTCCAGCTGGCTCAGGCACATGCAGCAGCCCGGCCTGGCTTCTTAGCCTCGGCAAGGGTCCTCCCTGGCTGCAGTCTCCTTCCTGGCAGGAAACCCGACCTAGAGGTCCCCACCTCTCCCCTGCACAGTGGCCCGGGGGCCAAGCCCCTGCCCTGGGGACACCTGCCTTCCTCATTCTCCCGGTCCTGCTTGCTGCTCTCAGCCAGCCTCCTTGCTCTCTCCTCCTCCTCCTGCTGCTTCTGCTGGATCCTCAGGTACAGGGCCCGCTGGGCCGAGGGCAGGAAGTCGGGGACACCGGCGCCCGGCTTCGGTCGACCTGGGGGCCCTCCCTCAGAGAAGCTGTCAGGCTCCAGAGGGTGCTCGGGGAAGAGGGGCTCCCCAGGCTGCCCCGGCAGCTCTTCGTAGTGCCCGTAGTCCTCTGTGGCAGGGAAGAACCGAGGGTTCGTGTCGGGAAGGTCCTGGAGGTGCCAACTCCACCCCCTGCCCTTCATTGGAAAAGCCAATTCCTGATGGTGATGGGTGAGGATGTCCAGCCCATCCCTTTCCTGCCTGGCCCAGGCCTGGGGCTCACGGGGAGCCAAACAGTGGGTTACGGGGCAGCCTGGCAGGGCATCCCATCCGCAAGGCAGCTGGGAAGGATGAAGCTCACAAAAGGGGTCTGGTCATGCGTGGAAATGCTGGTGGATGACAACAGGATGGACACTGCAGGTGTGCTGGTGAGATGCGGGTGGAGTTTGAAAAGAGAGACAGCAGCAGTCTCCAGGAGAGAAGGGGCGCCTTCCCACGTGCTCTGGCTACTCATAGTTATCTGCAATGAGCACTGGTCTCTGGTTCTTTGTGATAATAAAGAAAACAGCTCACAGCATGAGCCCAATCACATTCTCCAACACAGAAACCAGGAAAGGAAGAGAATGAACTGCACAAGTGTGCCACCTGCCAGCCTGGAAGTCTAGGGGTGCTTCTTCCTCCCACTTCTCCTCACAGGCCCCTGGCCTTGCAAGAAAGGCAGGGTGGGCGGTTTCTCTCAAGGCTGGGGTGTCAGCCTTCCCTCCCTCACCATGTGGAGCCCAGAGCTGCAGAGAGGGGCAGGCTGCAGCCCACTCACCACTCCCAGGGAGGGAGTGGGCAGTCCACACGAGCAATGGGGGTGCAGGGGGGCACCAAACACCCAGGACTGTCTACCTTGTCCCTCCACATGGAACAGGACCACCTCTACCTTCGTGAGTCTAGTGAGCATTGGAAACATGGCCGGTGCTTCCCAGAAAGTGGAACTATAATTTATCTTAAATTAACAGGATTGCAGATTACAAAATTGGTAAGTATTTCATACACAAAAGTATATGAAGCAAAAAATGACAGGCCATGCCTGCTGCTGGGACCTGAGCGTGGCTGTGTGAATGACGGGAGCCTGCTCTAGTGCACACCCACCAGGAGCTGAGGACACTCAAGGGAACAAGATAGTCGAGGCCCCGCCACAGACCAGAGCTGAGAGTGAATGATGACTGCGCAACTCTGAGTACAGCAGAAAGCACCCACTGTGTGCTCGCCAAGGTGGTCTGTGGCCTGGACTGTGTAGGAGAAAGGCATGCTGCTTGAGAGGCCTGCTGCCAACAGGCCTTTAGAGTTCCCAGCAGGGCACTGAAGCTCTCAGGGACCATGAGCCCCATGACCTCAAAGCCTGCTTCCCACTCATCTTTCTGAAGGCCCTGCTCCTTGCCCAACACCCACACTCGAAGCTCACATTTCCATCTCCAGACAGGAAACCGCCATGATGTCCCTCCAGCCACTACTTCAAAACTACTGTGTGGCTGATAAACAGGCATCTCCTGTTTTCTGCCGGCAAGACAAGGTGCTGCTGCCACCTGCCTCAGCTCCAGGAGGCCTGGCCGCATCAGGCAGTGGCCCTGACCCAGCTCCCCCTCGTCCACACTGCTCCTGCTCCATGCTTACAGGGGTCACCCTGGCCCTAAAGAACCATGTCCAAACCCTGAAGCCTGACCCTGCTGCTCTTGGCCAACTCTCACCACCTGTTCCCCAGTGGGGTGGCAGGTTTCCCGTTCCCACCCATCATCCTTGTTTAGCCCCCACCCTTCACAGCAAGTCCACTCCTGCCAGGCTCAGTCCCACATGTTGGGAGGCCTCTTTCACCCTTCCTCTGCAGGTGCACTATGGCCACGGCACCTGCTGTGCTTCGGTGCAGACCTGTACTCCTGTCTCAGTCACTTCAATTCTCAGTGACTGAGAATTGGCCTTTAACGTCTGTCCCCACCTTGCCCTGCCCCAACACTGCCCATATTATCTTCTAAGAGTGGCTAAGGCTGAAATGAGCTGAATCACTTATTTACAAGCTATCTCCTTCCCTCCAGAGAAATGCGCTAGGCAAAGACTGCAGCTACTCGCTTGGGGCCCCGAGGCCAGGAGCCAATCTCCTTCCCATTTCTGGGGGCTGAGCACACATCTCCCGGCCAGCAGAGTACATCATCTTGTCCTGACTGGCTGTCAGACACTGGGATTGTTACCAACACAAAGAGAAGACAGAAGGAAGGAAAATGGCCAGTCATGGAGACAGGACAAATGGAGTCACAGGGTCGACACTGACAGCTCCAAGTCCAGAACTACCTAGAGAGAAGAGCTCCACCCAGGGTACCTGACTTATTTCTGACACATTGACAATAAACATAATATTCCTTTTGGTCTCAATAAGATAATAAGTCCCTTGTCACTGAAAATATTCAACCATCAATGGAACAGAGGTAAGAGTTGGAGTCCTGATTTCAAAGAGATGCAGACCAAAGAAGAAAAAAGTCACACCTTCTGACTCCATTCAGCCAGCCCAGCACCCCAGGGATTCCTGCAGGAGTGTGTGTACCTGTGTCTCCGAGCAGCCCGGGCTCCATCTCCATGCCTTCCTGTTGCTGGTAGAAGTTTTCATAGAAGTTCTGGGCTGGCGGGATGGGGGGCATCATTCCAGAATGAGGGGAGTCTCCAGGACCATATGGCATCATCGGGGGACCTCCAGGACCCATAGGTGGGCCAGGATTCATGCCAGGGCCCATCGGCATGTCCGGGTGCATGTCCGGGTGCATGTCGGGATGCATGTCCGGGTGCATGTCGGGGTGCATGTCAGGATGCATGGGGCCCCCCATTGGCCCTGAGGGCCCCATGTTGGGACCAGGACCCATTGGCCCTGGGGGTCCTCCAGGTCCAGGAAACCTAGGAGAGAAAACAGTTACTATGAAAGCAGCTGCTGAGGAAAGGAGGTGGCACCCTACCCCCAAAAGATGTGGAGAGCTCAGGGGACCCCAACAGGTTCTAGGGCAAGACCCTGCCCATGCACCTGGTTCCTGTGGGCTAATGTGGGCGGGCGGGCACTCACCTCACGCCCAGCTTCTCAGCCAGCTGTCCTGTGGGTCGCACCACAATCTCAAATAAGGAAGGGATCTTCTTGTTGTACATGTCCTGCTGCTGCTGCAGCTGTTGCGGGGACAGCGGCTCGTGCACTGGCATGGGCATCTGAGGGGGCCCGGG